GTTTCATTTGTTTAATTTTGTGTGTAATTTACTGTGGTCTGTCATGTCACTCCATTTGTTTGAGCCAGTAGGCTTTTAAGAAACATGAAGTTTTATTGAATTTGTTGTTACTGATTTTCCTTTTGCACAGGTTACTCACAACGCGAACCTAAAATTTAATTTGTACTACCTCTATACGATTGTTCTTATGATATACGATTGATCCTATGATATATTATGAATTTCATTTATTTTGATTTTTTTTTTTTTTTTTTTTTTTTTTTTTGTTTTTTTTTTAAAAGTTAGTTTGTCCGGCACCTGAGTCCAAGTTAAAAGTCATAAAAATTTTAAACCCCTAATTTTTAGCGATTTAACACTATTTTTGAGGCTAAATCATTTGCAAAACTATCTTTTCATCTCCGGATTCGCTACACAGACAACATTTTCATGCTTTTTGATGGTAATAAAGTAGATTTATCAGATTTTTTTCTATTATATATTTAACTGATCCAACCATCCAGTTCACTTTTGAATCTGAATCTGAAAATACCCTTCCCTTCCTTGATATTCTTTTAATTCGCAGTGAATCTGATTTCAGCCACTGTTTACTATACACCTTTTTCTGTTTGTTTAGCCTAGGCAAAAATTGTCTTCTTTTTACTTTTAAGTATTTCACACTGTCCAAATTTGTTTCTCAGAGCCCTTGCTTGCTAATGAATTCAATTACTTGAAATCAGCTGCCACTGACTGAGGATTTTCTCCCATGGTCACTGATAAAAAAGCCTTTAAAAATTTTTAAGCTTACCACCAAACAAGACACTCTTCTATTAAAAATAACATTAATAACCTTGTCGTGCTTTCATTTCATTCTTCTGTCAGTTATAAAATTGCACTGATTCTCCAGAAGTTCAATTTTTAAGTCATTTTCTCACCTATCAATAAAATCCATAGTTCGATTCTTAAAGAATTTCATTTCTAACTTTAATTCTTGGGGAATTCATAGCATATTGCATTAGTGTGGTTTGAGATATATTGAGCAAACTAAAAGAGCATTAAAGCTTCATGTCAAGATGATATCAAGTAAAGATTCTCACCATAAAATAATTGGTTAAACAAATTAAATAACCTCTACCCTGAAAAAGTCACAAGTGATAGGTGTGGAGGGGCTGGAACCCTCCACCCATCACTGGTATCTGGGTAATAGCTGGGAATGGCTCTAAATGGGAGTTCGCAGACTGCACTTCCGCAAGTAGCAAGTGGCCACATCAAGTGCCTGTCTTTCTATGGTGAAAGGAAAGTCTCTGACACCTGCACCAAGTCAGTGCCATGAACATCAGGCTTTAGCCGAAAACATCGTGGATTTTCTAGGAAGGATGTATTTTCTAATCCCCTTCTTGTTCTCAACTTTCTTAGCTTCAATGGACTTTTGGATCTTGTTGATTGACTTCATGAGACTTCTTCATGAGAAAGTAAATGTATTAAAATGCCTTTATAATATACTTTGAACTTTTCTTTTTAAATAGTAGATGGCAGCATATTACAAGGCGACCCATAATTTTCAACTAGAAACACTTTTTCAGTAAATTTATTTTTTTTTTTTTTTTTTTTTTTTTTTTTTTTTTTTTTTTTTTTGTTTTTTTTTTTTTTTTGTTTTTTTTTGTTTATTTTTTTTTTTTTTTTTTTTTACATTCTCATCAAACATGCACAGAATCATTGAATAAAACGGGGTGTTCCATCAGCGTGAACACTGCACCTTTAGCAATCTCGTGCTATTACGTATCAAAACATTTGTCTTAGGAGAAAACATCTGTTGTATATGTTTTCTGTTTTCGTTATTTTGGGGGGAATGAACTAAAACAAAGCAGTACTGAGGGGTGGTGTGGTTTGTGCAATGAGAGTCCTAATATAGGCATCTTGAAATTTTGAGTAATTTTCAATCGGGAATTTTATCAGTAGCTAGAGTCATCTTTACTTAATTCTGCACGAAATTCGCTATCACTTTTTAGTCTTATTCCCATTTATTTTCAATAATCATGTAGATTTTTTTTTTTTTTTTTTTTTTTTTTGGTGTGTGTGTATGTATATCTTATAACTTATTTTTTCTTTATTGTTAATATTAATTGTAGTTAATTTTTTATTGTTAATTTTCCATAAATGGCGCAGAGAGGTTTAATCTTTCCGAAGCACTAAAAGTGCTTCATGAATTACCCTCAGATACTGAAACACAGCATGAGGATAGCACCAATACTGAAATATACACTCCTGAACCACTTGTGCATTGGTTTCATATAATATTTTACTCAATTTCCTGCACAGTTGGCAAGTTGACAACAAGAACTTGTCCCTCCTCAGTACAGCAGCACCATAGTGAAACTGGTTTTTTATGTCTGTGAAACCTTTCCTTCTTTACATAGAGGTTCTTTGAATTCATGGCTTGTTTACTTTGTATTCCGGTGGTTATGGGGAATACCTGAATTTCATTATTACTTTTTCCTTTATCTTGCTGTACTTCAACTTGAACAAAACATTTCATTATTAAAAGTTAAAGTGTCCAATTCATAGGATGCAATAAATTTAATTTCAATAAAGTTCTAAAAGTTGATGCTCAAATGAAAGTTTTTTTAAAAAATCTGATGGTGAAATTTCCAGTATAATTTGTATAGATGATAATTTTTACTACTAAAATACAATATATTTCCTCAAGGAAAAAATACCTATTGATGGGAAAATTATAAAACAGAAAGCAATTAGAACATACAGCCAACTTCAGGAATTGGAACCATCAAAAAATCTTCAGACAACGAAGAAATTGGAATTTAATGTGAAGGATGGCTGCCTGATTTTTTAAAAAAAGACACGCATTTCACAGTGTAAAAATTAAAGTAGTTGCATCAGCAGACAAAAATGCTGCAAAAAGCTTTCCGGATAAACAGCAAAAATAACTGAACAGGGCAGTTTATACTCCTGGTTAAATATTTAATGATCACGAAATGGGATTATTCAGGGAAAAAAGGCTGAAAGAACATATACATAGCAAATCTGAAAAATCACCTGGTGGTTTAAAAGCACCCAATGATCAGGTGATGATCTTGTTTTGTAGTAACGAAGTAAAATGTTAAAGGCCTCTGTTATTAAACAAATCCCTCATGTCATGAGCTTTAAGAGGTAAGAACATTTAAGAGCTTCCGATTCATTTGGTGGTGAATAAAAAGGCATGGATGGCGGCTGATTTGTTCACAAACTGGTTAACAACTGTTTTGTTCCTGAGGTCAGAAATATATGGAACGAAAAGGTTTGGATTCAAACTACTTCTGCTCATTGATAATATGCCCAGCCATCCAGTGCTGGATCATCCAAATATTCAAATGCTGTTTTCACTGCCTAATACCACCTCACTCAGCCACTTGACCAGGGTATTATAGAAAATGTGCTAGATAAAGCAAACATTTAAATATATTTTATACTCAGTGGAAAAAAGAAATTTGACTGTTGTGGAAGCATGGAGGAAGTTTAGGATTATGGATTATATTACACGTACTTCTTTTGCCATCATACAATTGTGCGAATCGAATTTAAATGCTTGTTGGAAAAAAATCTTGCCAGCATGCATCCTGAAGTGGAAGTTTCATAGTACAAAAATCAGATGTGTATTCTGAAATTATAACTCTATCAAATGCAACTGGTGGCAAAGATTTTAACAACATGCAAATGGCTGACATTGAAGAATTGATGCCAGAAAACCTTTTGGACGAGAACAATTTAATTGAATTTATAAAAGTTTATGACAATAATGACATCGATAATAATCAATTTGAAAGTGAAGTTCAGGGATTATTAGCTGATTTAATTCGTGAGGGATTGAAATTTGCTACAAGTATGAAATGACATTTTCTTACTTATGATGCTGACATGGAGCGTACATTAAAATTTCAACATAATCTTAGGTTTTTGTATAGCTTGATATCCAGAATTATATAACTAACTTGAGGGAAAAAAAGTAGTTAATAATAACAGACTTTGTAAACAATAATAACAAGAACAACAACCCCCCCAAAAGGCCATTAATAACAAATGAATTTTTTCATTTTTATCAAACCCAACAGGTGTGCTAGACATATCTACTGATGAGATTATCTTTGATTTAAGTTCATAATAAACATGCACGTTTGTTATCAAGTAGTGATGAATAGTTGTGAAATCGATTTTTATTTCTAATTTCAATTTAAATTTTTATACATACTTATGGGCTGAATTCCCACTGTTCACTAATTTTAATGTTTTTTGCCATAAAAATAAACTGTTTTTGTTTTATAAATATGTCATATGGATATTTTCCCCCCACTTTTTTTTTCGGGGGGGGGGAGGAAGTATTTAGAGTTTTTTCCATCTTACACGATCTTTTAAAGTTGTGGAACACATCCCCAAATTTACCATATAAAGCATGTATTTTTTTTACATGATTTTTTTTTTGCACGTTTTCTAAAGAACTTATCTGCCATGAAAAAAAAAAGGGGGGGGAGAGTTCATCGTATAAATATATATAAAACTGCACAAAAAAGCTGCAGATATAAAATATAAAAGTATACATGGTATTTTTGTAGCAAATGATATGCTTGTGATGAATTTCGAGATCGAGCACAGCACATTGATTTGTATATTAATTAAATTATTAGACAGCATTCATATCACTAGTCTCAATAATAGTCAGTCTACACTGCAATAAAAAGCAATAATATCACATCTCTTAATTAAAGCAGCCATATTTCATATTGTCAAAGATCACCCTTTTTAGTAAAAGTAATCCAAACATCAGCAACAGTAGTTGGCCATAATTATTTACAACTACTGTTTCTGATGTTTGGATTACATTATGATAACCAACAGCAGATACAGAATAGGTATTCTTTTTGTAATAAATATAGTAGTGTAACCTATTGCAAAAATACATGATATATCACATGAAATATCATTTACAATTAACAATATATAAAATTATGGTTATAGTGAGAAAAAGGAGATACCTGTTTTCTAACTAAAGATATGCCTTCTGCTTCTAAAGCAGATTCAACAGCTTTTAATAAATCTTCTTCTCGGGAAAATTTTCCACTATTTTCTAATAACTGATATTTTTCTACATATCTAAAGGAAAAAAAAAAAAAAAAGCCAATGATTGTTTTCATAAAAATTTATTAAAATCAGATAACTTCACTGCATGTATATAACTGTTTAATAAACTATTTATGATAAGGCATGCATTCAGCCCATTCTGTAGGATTTGTACCCAGCTTAAACTACCACAAAGCAAAGTTATCCACACAGCCATAAGTGAGCCATTTTTAACAGATACTTTTCAAATATGCAATTATTTATTTAAAAAAATTATTACTAATTTTGTCTAAATGAAATAATGCAATTAATGTGAAATAAATGTAATTAATAATTTTACCCAGAATAACAAACAATGGTGAGACACAAGACTCTCCTTTCAATATACAGAGATTAATCATGCATTAAACAATGATGCTCAAATTCTTGAGATTTACAACTGCATTTAGTTAAGTGTTGTATTTACTTTTTATTTCATCAAGCAAAAGAACTTATATATCAAATCCTGAAGAACAACAAAAATAAATAAATACATTTTTCATTTACTTATTTAACAAGCTAGATCCATATTTATGGCATTTCAAAATAGAAGTAAAATGATACCTACCTTTGTGCAAGAGATTTAGCATCTGGAGTTAGTAAGTTGTACGTGCCTATAAAACCATACAGCTCGAAGAATTTTCTGAAAAACAACATTTTTTTTTAATTACATGAAATAAAAAAAAAAGGAAAAAAGCATATTTGAAAGCAATTGTAGATACAATGTTGTAAAAACTACAACATTTGAGAATACTCATGTAAATTATTGAATATTCAGAATTAACCAAACTTATTTCTATTATTACAAATTTTAAATCTAATTTCATTAGAATTTTTCTTATTAAAAATTTATTAATAATACTGTAAGATAGAGAATAGCGCTTGATTTCTTGAATTATTAACCTGATGGTAAGGAAAATTTGATATTTGTTAAAATTGCAAAGAGGTTATACTTAACAGAGCTAATAAAGAAGAAGAATAAAATATAATATACTACTACCTGTACCATGAAAAATACAGCAGCTCTCCCCCCAAAAAGTGCACAAATTTAATAAATTTCATTATAAAATACACAATAAAAAATACAAAAACATGGAAAAATTCACACACAGAATCCAGAACCTGGATATCAAAAGCTACTATTCAGATTGTCTTCTCCCTTAACAATGGCAATAAAATAGGTAACTATAGGACTCTTATAGATAAGTCTAAAGGATCAGGATTTCCAGAATTTTCTCATAACTTCTATCTTACTAATCACAGAAATTGAAGACTGAAGATTTGAATAAGCAAATTAGGTGATATTTCACTAAATATTGTTATATCTAAGCGACTTCATGATGTATTCATAAAAACCTTCAAATGCGACCACAATTTTTTTATATTTTACTACATGTTGCTAATTCTAGCAAATTTCCACAATGTAAATAGATAACAAGGTTTTACTTAATATAAGTTACCAATAGTTGTATACAAAGAACCTCAAATTAAAATTTAAAAAATACATTAAATATATAGTGAATTTACTGTCTGGATCATCCGTTAATTTTTTTTCCATCTGAGACAAATATTTAAAGACAGGATTAGATTATCGCATTTCTTCATTGTTATTCCACATATATTTCATTCAACTGAAAATGAAGGAAATGGGAAAATTGTGAATAACCGATAGTTTGAAATACTAAAAAATTTCCAAAAATCATGCCTAAAAACGTTTGAGATTCTATAAAAATACTCATATACATATATATAAATCACATAACATTTCATACAACAAAGATATAAATTTTTATATATATAAATGGTGAAAATTATTAAAACACATAAAAGACTGAAGTAAAAAAAAAGTTTTGATTTTTAAGAGTATATTTGTATTATGAAATTCTCTCTGCTGACAGTGATACAGAATCACATTTTGGACCCTCCTCACGTAAAAAAATTCTTCATACCACCAGAATATATATTTAAAAGTAGTAAGAAAAGATAAAAAAAAATGTTTCCTTTTGTCTTTTTATTCCCCCCCCCCTCAACATGGGAAAAATGGGAAAATGTTTGAAAGTATTAACATACATATTGTTAAAAAAATATAACATTAAACACTGACCTGAGAGCTTACTGTCTGAGACAAGGAATAGTTTTATGGAAGGTGTTCAGTTTTGCTTTATTCCAAATAGACACAGCATTTCAGAAATAAACTACATTTTTCATTATGAATATTTTTAAATACTCACAAAAAGACTTCATTTACTATAGAATTTTTAAATAATCCAAAAACACCATGGGAATTCATCAAATTATCACTGCACATCTGGGGATTCTACAAATTGATATCTCTAAGGCATGATTCAGGGATAACTGTTGACACTGACTTCTTGAGAAAGGAAAATGAAAATAATTTGGTGCTATTTACATATATTATTTTATTCATTTATTTTTTGCTAATATACTGAATAGTTCAAGCCAAGTTAAAACAAATTAACTCAGGTAGAAAATTAACATTAACTCTGAATTCATTTTTTTTGTAGTAAAACTTCAGTTTAAAAATTTTGAATTATTGAAGTTATATTCTAACTGAGATAAGTGAATGTAACATTATCAGTTTATACTTTTCAATTAAAATTACATAACAAATCAGACCATCTGATTTTACTCATTAACAGATTTCCTGTTCTATTCCCAGTAAGTTGCATATACAATTCTTGATTTTTTTTCATGTAAAGCATACATACAATCCAATTTTTTTAGAAAATACTGCACAAGAGCATTTTCTCTCAAACAGCTTTTAAGTACCCTGCCTTAATCAATCCACTAACCAATAATAATTAATAGGAACATGAACACAAGTCAAATATGTAAAAATCAAGAGAGAAGAGAAACACATCAAAATAAAACATAAAATTAAACAAAGCAACAAACTTCTGCTACGTGTAGATTTTTAACCAAGATTCTAATCAACTTCAAGCGCGAACGGATGAGGGTACCTCATCATAAGCAAAGAAGTCAAAAGAAGGGAGGAGCTAAAGCTGCAAAAGCAAAGGAATAAAGCAAACGAGAGGGAAGCACTATCAGAAATAGAAAAGAAACATGAAAACATTTAACAGAATTTTAAAAGCATTAGGAAGAAATGAATTGAAATTAAGTCATTAATTATACACATTATATCCTCTGTAAATGAGAAAAGCTTCAAGAAAATCAAATTCATCAACTGAAGAAGCTTTTTTAATTTTTTTAGACCCAAAGTCAAAATTTATGAATTAGCTATTAAAGATTTGTCTGGTTCTTTCCGCCCTTTTTTTTTTTTTTTTGGACATAAGATTTGTGTTCTTTGATACAACATTTTAAAGCTCTTTTAGTCTGGCCAATATATAACAAACCACACAAGTTATGTTATGAATTCCCTGAAAATTAAAGTCAGAAATGGAATCTTTAAGAATCAAACCATCGATTTTACTATTAGGTGAGAAAAATGGCTTGAAAATTGACTTGGGTCCTCCCTACTTTTAATTTCTTTGCTCCTCATGATGAGGGCCCTGTACCAGTACCAGCTAGTCTTCAAAATCAATACAGTCTTGGTTAAAATCTACGGCAAACACAAGGCTATACAAAAACAAATAACTTTAATGGGCAAAATGTAATGATTTTATTATCTATTACAATATAAAAATACTGTGAGTAATAGCCCAAAACTTAAGGGGAAAATATTAGGAAAAATAGAGAATTTTTAGAGATTAATTTGCATGCATAATTCAAAAATTAAAATAATTAAATAAATAAGCTGAATGACCACAAAATTTGTTGTCTTATTTTTATACTATTATTCTGTGCTGTTTGTTGTATACAAAATAGCTAAATTATACTCAATTTCTCATCTTTTGCTGGTCAGCATCATATTAAAAGCATGCTGATAAAGCTGTTTGTGTAAAATTTTAACAATAATTCTTTTAGAGTTTGCAATTATCTTGAAGTATGATGAAGTGATTTTTGAAGGCTGTACTGAAATGTTGTCACACAGCATTAACTCTACACTCACATGAGGCTTACCTGTTCTATATATTGTATTTTGCAGTAATTGACAAAACAGGCAATCTTCTTATTAGAACATAAATTTTATTTCTAGTTCCCAGAGATAGATAATTTGAAGAAATTCTTTAGTGGCAAAACTTTCATACTACTACTGGCTGGTAAAAACTTCAGAATTCTAATTTTAAAACAATTTCTCACTTTGCTGAGCAATGGTTACATAATACAAATATGACATTGCCACTTCAACAATAAATATAGTTATTTATTAAATAAGAAGATATTACAATATCATCAACATTGTTATCTCCTAAGTTTAAACCACTGACATTTCAACTTCATGTTAACATTGCAAGAGGCACTTAAAGAAAATAATATACTGGAGATCTACAGTTGTGTTTTAATGGACCTGACCAATTTTTCTTTAGGTAGTACATTTTATGTATCTGCATTTCCCTATTCTATGAATTCATGAGAAGTACTGCTTTTTTTCAATTATAAAATATAATGTTTTTTATTATCTTATTTTAAGAGAATGTTAAATATATTCAAAATACATATACTGATCTTTACTTATAATGCATTATTTGTATATTTTTACTGTGTGCTGTTTGTTGTACATAAATGGCTAAATGTTACTCGGTTTCTCACCATTTGTTGGACCACAGATTTACAGTCATCTTATAAAAGTCTATTTAAATGTTCAAAAGAGGCACTTACATAGTTTTCCTCTTCTCTCTTCCATCTGTATAAAGGGACTATGGAGATAAATTATGCTTCAAAAATAACAATTTATAGGGAAAAAAATGAAAACTCTCAATTTTCAATTTTGTTATAAAATACTGCAAAATCCTTATTTTTTAATTCATTATTTTTATTATTACAGTGCATTTCCAAAATATACTTCTACCCTTATCAAACTTTTGAAGAATATTTAATAATTTTATTTCCTTAGTTTAAATCAGAGAAAAATGCTTCCATGCGCTTTAATAAACACTAATTCTATAAAAACTGACTTTCAATAAAATGTTTTTTTAAGTAAAGCCAGAAAACTCAGGTCCTGCAGGCAGGGACCTATAAATGATACATGTCAGGATGCACTATCAAGTTTACAACATCCAGACATAAAATTCTTTATCTTGACAACTGTCATATGATGTAAAGACTTTATTTTATTCTAACCAATTATTTAAAATTTTTTTTCCTTTCCCTCTTGATTTCAGTTTCCTGCCGGAATGCAAATTTGTTATGATGTAGATTCTAATCTAAACGTGATTCAGAAGCAGTACTTAAGATGTATTTCAAGAGTTCATGAGTAGTAGTAATGGACTTAGTTCCGAGTTTATGCTGTGTGTTTGAATTTAGCTCTCTAGTCAGTGTTAAGACACCTTTCAGTTTATACTGATATTTCTAGGTTCAGCTTTTCTGTGAAGCCGATACAGCATTTAAGCTAAGGGGCCAGTCGTTAGATATCTTAATTTATTAGTGATTTTTTACATTCTTATTTTCTGTTAAATTTACATTAGCCACAAGTGGTGGTGATTTGTGAGCTGGTGGTAATTTTTTAAAAATTTCTCATCTAAAGTGAAATGATAATTATTACTTAAATCTTAATTGGAGGTG